CTCACGTTTAGCTCACAAGTCAGAAAAAGTTTATTTACTAAATTTATGTAATAAAACATTATTTTTTAAATTTAAAACATTGTTTTAAAACAGTATTTTATAATGTAATATAAAACTGTTTTAAAACAAAAAAACAAAGGTTTCTAAATAAAACGTGTATTATTGTTTTATTTAAAAAAAAATAAACTTTCCAACCCTGATAACACCTATTGTGAGTTTATTTGGAATGTTTTTTTCTATTATAATGTACAGGGTGTCCACCATGAACCTGACACATTTCAAACTGTTGTAAAAAGTCTACCGCTCAGGAAGGATGTAAAACAATGCACATTGTATGATGAAAAACTCAAAAAGTTTTATTAAAAAAATCAGTGAACCTCTACATGAGCTCCTTTTGTTGCACTTAGAACATCGAGTCTATACTCCATTTCCTCCCAGGTTCTTTCAAGCATCTCAGGCGTGTCAGCAGCAACAGCATTGTGAATGCGCACACGAAGACGTTGAAGGTCATGAATTTTGATACCGGTGTAAACCTTGTCCTTGACAAAACTCCAAAAGCAAAAGTCTAAGGTCGTAATATCCGGCGATCAAGGAGGCCACGGTATCGGTCCTTCGCACCCAATCCAACAATCGGGAAACTGTGTGTCGAGGAAACATCGAACATGCAGGCTCCAATGTGGAGAGTCCTGCTGGAATCACAGAATTTGTTTCAGCATGTGGTATGCTGAAACAAATTCTGTGATTCCAGCGCGTATAATTGAATTATGTCGTATACCGCACAAAAGTCGTATACCGAGCAAAATTTGTTTCGTCCAAACAGGACGTATTCCGAATTGGACGTATTCTAAAGCAGACGTATACCGAGGTACCACTGTATATTAATACAGTTTATGTGAATCTAACAGTACCAGGATAGGCGACGTTAGTGACATATCAAAGTATAGACATTGAAGAGTCTTGTTCATTACTATTTCTTTAGTCGCTCTTACGTAGTGTTATAAGCCTGCTTTTGCTCTCTCCCTTTTCCTGTTGTAATTATGTACCATTTCTGTAGAAGAAGATTACAGATTAAACGCAGATAAACGGAGTTCGTTGTGACAGTGTAACAATGTTTCCTTTTGTTGCGTTTCACAACTATCCATCTGCCGTTTTCTAAAGTTTTATCTCTGTAATTAGGACAACATCGTATTTCCATCATAGCATTCTGTACACTGACGCCCAAAGGACTGTTGCCCATAGATATAAAATCAGTATAAACTTACCTCATCGTATGCGTGAACAATTACTACTTAAAACATCAACCAAATTTTACTTTTAAACACAAAAAGCACATTAATTAGTATAACTTCAATGTTGGGCAATATTCTCTGATACACTTCACATGCAATTCTAAGCGAGACACAGAACAATAATGGAGTTTCGTATTACCAGCCTCATGAAAACAGTTATAAGCTTGTCAGTACTGGCCTGTCACACCTAGCTTCGCTTTTTCGTACACAAAATGAAATTACTTTGTAAGTGTGAAGAGGACTTTACACCATAAAAAAAGTTATCAAAAAATTTTTGAAATATTTCTGGAATGATATTAATTTGCTACTGTTATAAGAAAATACGACGAAAATCAGAAATAAATATTTGAAAAAGTATTCAATGTGAAAGAAACGCAATTAACTGTTAAAACGGTAAATATCGGACAGGTCGAAATTAATCATGAAACATATATAATATTGAAGTGTATTTGAAGTTTTAATTATTTCTTATCTTTGAGATATGCCGTAATAAAACATTCTATGGAAATTTCTACTTATGATTTTCCGAATGATGTTTTAGTTCAAAAAAATTTATTTATTCTTTTTTTCATTGATTCTTTTCTATCATAAAGTAATACCCCGAACTTACGCGATAAGTGGGTCCGAGCGGTAACCGCGTAAGTCGAATTCGCGTAAGGGTGCGACTATGCAGACGCGAATTTAGAGCGAGCGAGAGGTTGCGAGCGATTTAGTTTTCGCAAAGGAAAACCATGCACAAACGAGAAGCGAGAAATAACGCTGGCGAGAGCGAATTTCTGGTTCTCGCACATATCTGACAGGTTTTGATATTTATCGCTTCTCGCCTCTTCTCGCCACATATTCTCGCTCGCTCG